TAAATTATTGGTCTGCAAAAGGAGAGGTTAAGATATTAATTTGATTCTATAATGTTCAGACTTGGTGCATCGTACTACACGAGACCAGAAGTAGGGAAAGACTATACAATATAATATGATAATTTCCCTGTTCTACTGGCCAGTTTTTCATAAATAAGACTAGGGAGAATTTATTAGAATTGACCCCATATGCTGATTTTGTTGTTTATGTGTATGTTATGTTATTTTATCTGTTTATTTTTATATTTTATTTTTTTTAAATAGTATAAAAAAAACATAAATGCGATACTACAAACTAATATGGAATATTTAACATTTGATGCATTTGTTGTAATGTTACATGAAAAATATATATATACAAAAAATTACAGCCAAGCATGTTTTGTTTAAAACATTCTCAATTAATAAAGACATCATATCAATGGTACCTAAGGGCATGATTACAAGTAGCCTTCTAAAAGAATAATCAATGATGGCATCAGGCCACACCTGTTTAAATGATTAGAAACAAATGAAGGGGCGGGGCCGGACCACCATGCTGACCAGTCGCGTGCAGAAGAGGCTCCGGAGGAATGCCTGGTGAGGACCTCTGGCAGTTTACAGTACTGTGTTGACTCTTGGGATCTCGTGAGAATCAACACAGAGAACTTGTTATGTAACTTTTGAGTGAATTGACTACCATGACACAATTTTGTCATGAAGTGGAATAGAGGGGTACTGTATGTCTCTCCCAGGCATACATCTCTGAGGGGGGTAATCCCCACTACTAAAATAATTTGGAAGAGAATAAAAGATATTCTACTCAATTCTAAAGTAGACTTGTGCACACAAAAAAATTGGTTTGTCTAAAAAACATATTTGGTTCCAACATATTTGTTTTTTTTTGAGAATTTGATTCATACAAATTTCATCCAATAAATTTGGTTTGCGTTTTTGATGATGATGAATCAAACTATACATTCTCAAGCATTTCTTAATTTCGATTTTTCAGCTGTTGAATAGATAGCTCCCTAGTTTGGTATCCTTAAATATGACTATCCTACCTTCAAAATAAAAGCCTAATTCTTAATTTTGATCTTTCAGCTGATTAGTATCTGGGTTTGCCATAATTAGCTTTCTTCTGTAGTATTAGGGACGAGGAAGCAGTATGATGTTATTTGCTCTGCGTTGTTTATCAGAATGCCATGTGAAAGAGGAAGTGGAGGGATTAAGCAATCAGCCATCAGGTAATGCACAAACAGCTATAGACATCAAAGAATGTTGGTAAGACAGGCAAAATGGGAGGGCAGCTCTTAATTATTCAAAGTACAATGACATGCAAAGGGAAGGGGTGTTGGAGGCTGGAGCATGGGAATTATGGGTGTTATTGAGAGAGAATAATGAACCAACTATATACAGTTGATACTCGAAAAATTAGAATATCGTGCAAAAGTTAATTTATTTCAGTAATGCAACGTAAAAGTGGAAACTAATATATGAGATAGACGTATTACATGCAAAGCAAAATAGTTCAAGCCGTGATTTGTCATAAGTGCGATGATTATGGCTTACAGCTCATGAAAACCCCAAATCCACAATCTCTGTAAATTAGAATATTGTGAAAAGGTGCAATATTCTAGGCTCACAGGGTCCCACTCTAATCAGCCAAGTAAGCCATAACACATGCAAAGGGTTTCTGAGCCTTTAAATGGTCTTACAGTCTGGTTCAGTAGGAATCGCAATCATGGGGAAGACAGTTGTGGAGAAAACCATCACTTACACCCTCCAGGGAAAACCTCAAAAGGTAATTGTGAAGGAAGTTGGATGTTCCCAAAGTGCTGTATCAAAGCACATTAATAAAAAGTTATGTGGAAGGGAAAAGTGTGGAAGAAAAAGGTGCACAAGTGGCAGGGATGACCACAGCCTGGAGAGGATTGTCAGGAAAAAGCCATTCAAAAGTGTTGTGGACTTTCACAAGGACGGGACTGAGGCTGCAGTCAGTGCATCAAGAGCCACCACACACAGACGGATCCTGGACATGGGCTTCAGATGTTGTATTCCTCTTGTCAAGCCGCTCCTGAACAACAAACAACATCAGAAGCATCTTACCTGGGCTAAAGAAAAACAGACCTGGTCTGTTGCTCAGTGGTCCAAAGTCCTCTTTTCTGATGAGAGCAACTTTTGCATCTCATTGGAAACCAAGGACCCAGAGTCTGGAGGAAGAATGGAGAGGCACACACTGCAAGATGCTTGAAGTCCAGTGTGAAGTTTCCACAGTCTGTGTTGATTTGGGGAGCCATGTCACGTGCTGGTGTTGGTCCACGGTGCTTCATTAAGTCCAGGGTCAATGCAGCCATCTACCAGGAGATTTTGGAGCACTTCATGCTTCCTTTCGCAGACGAGCTTTATGGGGATGCTGACTTCATTTTCCAGCAGGACTTGGCACCTGCCCACAATGCCAAAATCACCAAAGCCTTGGCACCTGCCCACAATGCCAAAATCACCAAATGACCATGGGATTACTGTGCTTTATTGGCCAGCAAACTCGCCTGACCTGAACCCCATAGAGAATCTATGGGGCATTGCCAAGAGAATGTTGAGAGACATGTAACCGAACAATGCAGAAGAGCTGAAGGACGCTATTGAACTGAGTCCATATGCATGCTTATACTTTTCAGAGGACCGATATTGTTCTAAGTACACTCCCTGTTTTATTGATTGCATGTAATATTCTAATTAACTGAGATTGTTTTGGGGGTTTTTCTTTAGATGTAAGCCATAATTATCGCATTTATGACAAATCACGGCTTGAACTATCTTGCTTTGCATGTAATGCATCTATCTCATATATTAGTTTCCCCTGTTACGTTGCATTACTGAAATAAATGAACTTTTGCACACTATTCTAATTTTTCGAGTATCACCTGTATTACTATCCCAAATTCATTTCATGGCTCTTGCCAGTTTCGTGTACCATTTTGGTGTCTATGTTGACGCTGCACATAATTCTCGGGATGATCTTGACACCAACAGCCTCCTCCTTTTATATTCACATCTTTCCATCATCATTTTGGACATTGGTTGCTTTGCACCAGTCAGTTTAGGATGCCAGGATGCCTTCCATCATTTCGAAAAAACACTTACTCCTGCATTATTCTTGCAACATCATTCTCAAGTCATTTGACATCAAAGGAATGATGCAAACTCATCACAAAATCCTTAGCCCTATTTAAGCCTTCCCAGCCTTTTGTGGGGAGGTGGGAGGTAGGAACAACAACTAGTAAGTTAGGGAAAGGGACATAGTGTTCCTTTAAATATTAAAATATTTAAGCAAAAGAAAAGGAGACACTCCATTAAAGTAGAATATATCACAGAATGACTAATGTAAGTAGACTAGGTTCAGCAACAACCTAAGGGAAATGGAGAAGAGAAAAATAGGAATGAGATCTGTGACCATTTAACCATTATATGAGGTTTCCTATTCCTTTGATCACTGAACCTTTCAATAGATTAAAAGGTTTGAAGATCTTTATCTTTAACTAGACTTAAGAGAGTCCTGTAATTTTGTTTCTATTGACTTAATACACTCCCGATATTTATTAACAATGTATTGAGAGGCCTTTTGAATTAGTTGTTATTTTGTTATTGTAGGTCTGAATGTTATGCTTATCCATTTTCTGTGTTTTTTTTTTATTTTAGAGGAAGACTCCTAAATTTCCTTTACATCCATGTTGTTTTTTTTCCAAGAAGCTCTCAGATATATTGCATTTGTTTTAAATTGACAATAGGGAATCACTGGCCATAATTCTGGCATTAAACTAATGGCGACACCTTCTTGAGGACTGATCCCCATTTTTAATCATAAAAATTTGCAATACATAAATGAAGCCAAACACCTGTCCTCTTTTCAAGCAATGTAGTCTTTGTTTTTGTCATGTTTCAAATTCATTATTATATACAGCATGGTCACAATTCTAAGAAGACAAACTTTATTTTCAGTTTTTCCTCTCCCATAACTACAACGCAGGTCCAGATCTTATACTCGCCTCCTGTCATTAATAAAATTAAGATTATAGGTACACTACGTTAGCATAATCTACAATTTTATTACATGACAGGAGGCTTCCTATTTTGCATTTTTAAAGCTGAGGTAATAGCGAGAAAGATGCGTGTGTGTTCTGATGAAAATAAAATAAACGGAAGGTATCCTCCCGTGTCCAGTCTACGGAACGTAGGATATCTGCTAAAGAAGCTCCCGCCGAGAACGCCGCGCCCCTGACCGAGTGAACCCCAAAACACGTCTCCACTCCTGCTAGGGGCAGGATCCAACGAACCCATCGAGCCAGATTAGTAGTGGTAACTGGTTTGTAAGGTTTGGTGTAAGACACCAACAGCTGCCCTCTGCTAAAAGCTTGAATGCTTGCAGTAACCTCCACATATCGTGTAAGTGCGGAAACTACACATAAACAAGGGACCGTAGGGAAGAAGGGATAAGATATAGATGTTGAATTCGTTTTGGTTCTATGAGACACCGTGAAGGTAACCCCTTCTGGTGAGATCGAGAACCCGTCCACATCGAACACTCGCACGTCCGAAACCCTTCGAAAGGATACCAAACATAAAAGTAACGTAAGCTTGGCCGACAACTGTCGTAGTCACAAATCTTTATTTTCTGGCCAATTCCGAAGGAAGTTAAGGACCACCTCTACGTCCCACATGTGATTATACTTAGGTTCCGGCGGTCTGGACAATTTGATGCCTCGCATTAGGCGACATACCAAAGGGTCCTGACCAACCGGAGAGCCATGTACTGTTACGTGTGCCGCTGAAATTGCGGAACGCGTCACATTGATGGAACGATAGGATTTTTCTTCCGTGAAGAGGTGCGACAAAAAATTTACCACCATGGTGCTAGGTGCTGTAAAGGGATCACAATTCCATCCCAGACACCAGCGTTTCCATGAATTCCACGCTGATAGGTAACTCCGTCGGGTGCCCGGTGCCCATGAATCCCATAAAAGGTCTTTAGCTGGTTGCGATAGTACCTCGACGGACCAGGCTCCCCTGAAAGACTCCAGGCTACCAGCTCCAGATTCTCCTGTACCACTAGTGGATGTGGTTCCCCTTTCGGATCTGTCAGAAGGAAGGGGACCGATGGAAGAAGTAATGGATGGTCCTGCGTGAGAGCCAATAATTCCGGAAACCATGCTTGACTCTTCCACAACGGTGTGATGAGAATCATCGAGATCTTGGTTGTTCTGATGCGATGGAGTACTCTTGCTATCATTGAAAATGGTGGGAATGCGTACGCTCCCCTCGGAGGCCACTGTTGTAGAAAGGCGTCTACTGCCTCGCATTGAGGGTCCGGAAGCCAGCTGAAATATTTTGGTAACTGTGTGTTCGTCCGAGAGGCAAACAGATCCACGACCAACGGACCCCTGAGGTCCCTCACCATTGAAAATACTGAAGTGTCCAGTCTCCAGTCGCTGCCGTCTCTCCAGTGACGAGAAAACCAATCCGCCTTGAGGTGGTTGGATCCTGGTAGATATTCCGCTTTGATCGTAATGTTGCGAGGAATACAGAATTGATAGATGTCCTTCGTCGCCTCCGTCAAGATCCTTGATCGGGCTCCCCCTAGCCGATTTATGTATTGGACCGTGGAAATGTTGTCCATGTGTAGCAGGATGCAACAGTTCGCCATGTCCTTGGCTAGACTGCGAATCGCAAACAATCCCGCAATCAGTTCCAGGCAGTTGATGTGGAGACCCAGTTCCTCTGGAGACCATGGACCTCCTGTGGATGCGTGGGTGCTCCCCAGCCCCAAAGGCTCGCATCCGACTCCAATACAAAGTCCGGGCTCGCCCCGAAAATGGCTCTGCCGTTCCAGGCTTCCATGTGCAGTAGCCACCACCGAAATTCCGTCCGAGCCTCCGTGGAGACAGGAATCCAGTGATCGTATGTGTGTCCGGTTCGTAAATATTGGGCTTTCAGTCTCTGCATTGCCCGGTAGTGGAGCGGGCCTGGGAAAATCGCTTGTATTGATGAGGAGAGTAGTCCTACTATCCTCGCTAATAGTCGGAGAGGTATGGTGTCTCTCCTGAGTATCCTTCGGATCTCCTTCCGAATGGCCGCTATCTTGGATGCGGGGAGACGTAGCATGCAAGAGTTGGAGTCTATCTCGAACCCGAGGAACTGGACTACTCGTGATGGAGCCAATGATGACTTCTCTCTGTTCACTACAAACCCCAATGATTCCAGAAAGTGTATGGTAAATCTCGTCTGAGATTGAATTCTGGATTTGGAGTCGCCAAAGATCAACAAATCGTCCAGATACACGAGGCAGCGTATTCCTCTTCCTCTCAGATGGGCCATTACTGGTTTGAGAAGTTTTGTAAAACACCATGGAGCCGAACTGAGGCCGAATGGTAGACGTGAACTGGCAAGGGCGACCCCTCCAGATGAAACGCAGGAAGACTCGGCTTCCTCGAGCCAAGGGAACCTCGAGCGTGTGAACCAGTCGCGTTCGTTCAGTAGATCCCTCAGAAGGTGAATACCTTCCATTTTGAAATGGCGATAAGCCACAAATCCATTCAGTTCTCGTAAGTTGATGACTGGGCGGTAGTCTCCCATCTTTTTCTTGACAACAAACATGTTGCTGAAGTAACTCTAGTCGTCTGGGGCGAGTTCCACCGCTCCCTTTGTGAACAGGGTTCGTATCTCCGTGTCTATGAGACGTCTCTGACGCCCGGATAGGTGATGGTCGCCAGATCTGAACCGGCGTACGGGTAAATTCTATCACGTACCCTCACACGATTTGTAGGATCCATGCGTCTGTGGAGATTCTTTCCGATTCCTGCGGAAAAAGGGACAGACTGCCCCAGAAACACCCTATCTTCATATACCTTCGTATGCACTTTACGTGTGCTTTTGCAGCGGTGTGCCCGTTCGGGGCCTTGGTCGCATTCTCCGCCCTCCTGAGGCATGTCCTGCCAGTCCTCCTCCTCCGAGGGGGAATCCTCTGCCCTCCATTCGTCCATGATTTCTAATGAAGGTGGAGATAATGGCTCCTCATCCCCTGAGGAAGGGGGCTGTGGAGGGGAGCGGTCCGGGCGCCTAGACTGGCGGCTCCGCTTCCGCAACACCTTCCCCTCCCATCTCTGCAGGGTCGTGTTGAATCCCTTCTATTGTCGTTTGTACGACCCAGCCTCCGCCTTGGACTCGGCGGGTTCTTTATCCTCTTTTCTCGACGGAGGAGCGGCGTCTGCCCCCTCCGGTTGTGGTTGCGCCATCATTTTGGCCAACGCCTTTTCCACCGAAGCCGACACTTCGGCATTGATCATGGCCTGGAAATCCATGGGCGATGATGGAGGAGCGTCTGACATGGTGGCAGTTCGTTCTTCCCTTCTGTGGGTAGATAGGGTATACGTCAGTGCGTATGTAGCTACACAGTGGCTTCCACGTACAACTGGGGGTCACCCAGGTACCATATAATCAGTACCACTAGGAGCTTGAGTAGTGGTCTGCAGAGGGGGTCACCCTCTCATTGACCGGGGTGCACGGTCGTTAAGGTTGGGACGTAGCCCGGTAATGGTTGGGACGTAGCCCGGTAATGGTTGGGACGAGGCCCGGTAATGGTCGGGACAAAGCCCGGTATAGGTTGGGACGTAAGCCCGGTGATGTGAGGTGTCAAAGACCTCAGTACGCTTATTTTTTTAATTTTTTTTAAAGTGTCACCCTCATGCATGAAATTTGTGGAATTGCGCCACTGTGGGATCCTTTACCCAAAGGCAGTGAATTGCGTGGATCACCCCAGTTGTACCATGGAGGTGCCGCATACAATAAAGCGTACTTGTTATAAGCCCTTGAGTGGGCGTGATGATCACACCTGAAATTTTTTATTTTTTTTAAATTAAATTATGTATCCTGTCTTCAGTGTGTGCACCTCTGTGGGTCCACCACCAGTGCCCTCAGTGAGAGCTAGCCAGTAAGTATTGCAGCCTGAGCAGGATGAGAGTTGCCAGTCAGGTGAGAGTGCTTGTAAGGGCTGAAGCTGTAAGTATGCCTTTAAACCTTTAATCCAGATGCTGCCAGTGAATAAGGGGTTAATGTTATGGATTACAGTATGCAAGAAAACCTTGTGGAAACATTAGGGGAAATCAGTAGGAAACTAGATGCCAGTTCGTGAGAATCACGAACTGGCAACCTAAGATGGCCGCCGAGGATCTCGCGATACCGCGCGATCCAAGATGGCCGCCGTTCCCGCGCAAATTTCGCCTCGCAGCCCGGCGGTCCTAGCCGGCATCCCCCTGTGTCCCCCAGTTACCCCCCCAGCCCTTGGAGCCCTGGGAAAGACCTCTTGGTCTTGCGCGATCGCGGTAAAATGCCGCGAATCGCGAGGGACCAAACAGTGCAGAGGCAAAGGAAAGTGCAGTCCCAGTTACAGGGTAAACCCCACAAGAGAAGCAACAACAATAAAGAAGCTGAGGGAGCAGGAAGAAAAACTGTAGTGTATTTAAAGGGGAACATAGACAGTAAAGGAGGGAATAAGCCAGCATCAATTAAGGAAACAGTAAAGTTGCACATATAATATACAAACAGTGAGAGCAGAATACTCTGACCTGTGCCTTGGCTGGAAGCAGCAAAGAAAGAGGAAGTCATGTGACAATCAGAGCTTTATATATGGTTATGTACTCTTTTATGATTGGTTAAAAGTTTATTGATTGTGCTGCTGGAGGCATGAGTAAAGAAAGTCATGCAAAATAGGAAGCCTCCTGTCATGTAATAAAATTAAGATTATAGGTACACTAAGTTAGCATAATCTACAATTCCTAGTGATAGAAATATATTCACAATTGAGACCATTATAGTATATTGTTTGATATACTATACTGATATGCACCAAGTACTTGTACAAGTAATATACTGTAACGGACCGTTTCTCTCACAAGGGGATAAAATCGGTTTAGGCGATAATCCCCTTTCCCATAGACCAGCAGCTACTGCAATCACCAACCTCCTGAACTCCAAACTGCACGTATTCACCAACTCTCGAACAGCAGACACAGGAACCCTGGAAGCAGCCGAACAGGAAAAAGCAATACAAACGGCTTACACTCCTGGCAGTCAGCACACAATCCAATTCCCCCAATAACGAGACGACACTTCGTTTTGAGGGTTAAGCAGAATCTCTAGATTTATTCACACAGCCTCCTTTTAAGACATTCTCCCATGCAAGGGAGGGATCCACAACAATTAGGACCCCAGCCAATAAGGTACCAGTTACCTCCCACACATCTCCTCCCCTTAGTGTGACACATAATCCCATTAGTACAGACACAAATTCCCTGGGATACTGGATGTACCCCTAAACATAGGAATACCCCGTTAAATGTTACATCCCCTGGTAACCCTGATCTGGGTGAGACACATATCCAAAAATCACCCAGATCGGACCAGGGGTTCAGGAATTATAAAGGGTTAAAGTTTTGACCGACTGCATGGCAAAAGTATCCGAAAATAGTTCCATGTACTTTGGCCCTGCAGTCGGTCACAGAAAAGGGAATGAATCACACGAATTGCCTGAGTTACAGAGCTTGGGGAGGATTCGTATGAATCCCCCTGTTCGTGGGATCCTTTCTACCGAACGGCGGGCCGTTCGGTAGTTTCTGCACGAATTGCTGGAAGTCTGGAGGTCTCAGCGGTGTTTGCTTAGTCGAGTGTCCGATTTTAGTTCCAGACACTCGACGGCAAAACACCGCTGTTCGGGAGTTTAAGATGGCCGCCGCCACGTGTTCGTTTCCCGAATGGCGGCCACCCAGAGGACACAACACATATTACATGATTGCCAATTACCCGTTTGCAACATTGTTGCAAACGGTAATTGGAGGCACACTTACTCCCGGGTGGTCTGGTTGTTCGGTAGTTTCACCCAATATAATGAACGAAGTGATTCTACCGAACAATCAGGGGAATGCTGCATTCACATAACACTTTATACCGAACATATAATATTAAATACAGCCTGAATGCAATTTGCTACACAGTCTTAAAAAGGCATTATTCCTAACAGGCAGAATATGTTCACGGATGGCCCTTAAAGGGCCAGTAGCAGCAATATAAGAATGTCACATGCCCAAATATTGCATACAAAAGTACGAATTCACAAGGGGGCCATAGTCAGTTGGCAGGAGGCTGGCAACCAGGCTTCTCCAGTGCACAGTGGCGAG